ATGGACAGGCACTAACAATACATGGCACGAAAAACGAAAAAATAAAGCCGTGCCCGACGCTCCCTTTCTTAATCGGCAAATGGCGCTTTAAACAATCATTATTTCATTAAATAATACTAAATAATATATAATTTATATATACTAATCCTATCTTAAATATATATTATTTTTAGTAATATAATATTATATATATAGTAATATTTATCATTACCTTCGACATATATAATAACGAAATCGAATAATCAATTATATAAAAGATCTTCTATTAATTATATATATCGAATTGTTAATTTTCGTTTTTCTAATTTAATCTATTATCATTTCATATATTATATATATCTTTAAATATATATTTTTTTAATATAAAATATCTTTATTCAATTTTACATATATATATATATTATTTCATTATTATACTTTTTATATAATCGACATATTAGAAATCTATTTTAAAAATAGAAATCAATAATTTTAATTAGCAAACTCTTATCCTATTATCGCGTCCTTAGACTCTATAACCGAATCTTACTAACCATACTAACCAACCCCAACCACACTAATTAATCGTATCCCCGGAATTCTAAAGCCGCATATATAAAATACTAAATAATATCCAATCGGACGCTCGCGAAAGAAGCAACTTCGCATAAAGACCCATTTCACACTATTAACAAATAAGATACCAAACAATATACCGATAAAATACATTAAATATTGTTAATTTTCATAAATATTCATCAATAATTAGAAAAGAATCTAATCACATATATAACAATATCGATACCAATAAAAATCATCAATACAATAGTTTATTTTTAGAAAAGAAAATACAATATATTAATAAATTATTTTCAAAATTAATATAATACTAAGGAAGATCAAGTGTGAAAAAAGGTCGGGATCGGCACGTCGTCCCTTATTTCTTGAGCCATCGAGCGAGTGCACAACTGGTTTGTGCTTGTCAATTGAAACATGCGATCGGCCTCGATCGAACCATTCATACTCCCCCTACCTGCGTTGCAGGTATGAGTGCATTCTATGCTCGGCAGGTTTTTTCTTCTGCCTTGCATTCCAAAAGCTTTTTTTCAGTAGAAAATTTCAAAGCTGCCCTCAGAATCATTTGGGTCTTCTTCTCGTGCTGTTCGGCTTGGTGCACGTGGTGGAGGCATTTGCGTGCCCACCCCCCATCCACACAGGCAGCTGATCTGCTTCAGGCGGCAGCAATCCCGCCATCCGGTCGCCCGGCTGCGTCAGACCCTCCATTCGTAGGGCGTAGAGCCAATCATCCCGCTCTTCTTCATCTCGGGTCATGCCGTCATGGCCTTGCGGCCCCTCAGACCAGTAAGCCCCGGTCTCATGGTTCAAGCCCTCTTCATAGATTGGCTCCGCCTCACCCCTTCTCTCATGGCTTTCCAGCCTGTTCAGGTAGCCCAAGGACAAGCCACCCTCCATCGCTTGCAGGCCTCGAGCTTGCGCTGAAGATCTCCTCGAAGTTGAGGAGCTTGTAGTTTCCCCCCCATAGCCCTGCTGCCCTCCAGGAGTGCTCGAGGAACTGATAGTTTCATTGATGCCCCTTCGGGCATAGCTCGCATCAGTTGGCAGCTCCTTTGACTCCGGCACTGTAGGCTGTTCGATCAGCAAGGGCCTTGGCACCGGCTGCACAGTGAGCTGTTCAGCTGGCCTCGGCATTGGCGGCGGACCAGACGAACCGCTGCCCATCGAGGAGGTAGTCAAGCTCACCGGTTGGGGCGTTGAAGAACTCCCCGAAGTCAAAGTCTCTTGAGTCGCCCCGGTCCCCGCCGGAGTGATCTCTTGGAAAAAGGTGTAGCCAACCCATGGCTCATTTGGAGGCATCACTGGCGAAATCCCATCTGGCCAGTCATCTTGGATCACCTGCTTCTCGCCATGGCACCAAACCACCACTGTTCTCAAGTTCTGGAGGCGGCTGCCCTCAACCGGCGTTTGGCGATGAAGCGGATGAAAAGGTCGAACCCTTGGTTTCACATGGTGGCGAACCCACCATTCATTAGCAAGCCGTCCCCACCTGTCTTGCCCTTGAGGTGGTAGGGAGAATGAATACCATTCCCAAGGCGGCCCCGTCTGCGGCAGCGGCGTTCGAAAAGCTGCCAAGCGCATCGGCGCTCCCCCCATTCCATGGCCCAACGCGCGCGCGCCGATTCGGGAGCCTTGTAGGCTAGAAATTCTCACCTCTTGAGGTGATGGGAAAATGCCGTTGGGTTCATCTTCCTTCAACGGATCTTGTAGGCCAGTGGCTCTTGTGTTCTACTAGAGTGACATTCAGACCAGGTTACAAAATCTTCCCCCGAAGCGATAGTTAACAACCACATAATTCTTCATAATTCTTCATACAACAAAATTCAAAAAAGTTGATTATAGTCTGTGGTATTCAATCACTCATATTATATCTTCCTTTTTCAGCTGCCAGAATATTTCGAGCTTCAAGTCAGGTTTCACATCTGATGGAACAATTTCCCCCATCAGGCTGCCTGGTTGAAATCAGATGGGACGCATCATTCGTCCATCTGTATTGCTTCGGAACGAAAGCTTCTGTAGAAACAATCTGACGAGGAGTTCGTCAAAATAGCAGCGAAGATACCAGACAGGTCAAGAGAAAGAGAAAAAGGTGAGGGAGGGAGGGTGAAGAAAAAGCATTGAAACTCCAGC